CCTGTTTGGGTACTTTTTTTTTTGTACGGCACCTAATATTTAGGGTACCCCAAAAAGGGACCCTAATTTTGACAACTACCCATATGGCTGGTGCATGAGAGGTTGGCAAAACCTACAGACTCCACAGGTCTTAAGGCGACTGCCCACCGACTTCCCTGATGCAGGTCTAAGAACTATCCAAAAGTAAAAGGAGGGACCCTTAATAAGGACCCCTAGGTATATACCCTTAATATAGCTATTCTATGCCCATTATATAGCCCATTATAGTGTAGGGGTCCCCATTAAGGGTGCCTCCTTTTCCCCTTTGAAAATAGAACCTCAAGAACAGGAGTCCTCCTACAGACAATTCGTTGCTTCAGTCCGGACAGGCTCTTGCTAAGCCGAAAGGTTAGAGATTCACTCGCATGATTTATCACCGAAAACCCATGATTAGAGCACTCTTTCTGGAAATACCACCGAAAGCTTTAGCCTTAAACCCGAGACCCCAAAACCCCTGACAACCCCACAGCCCTCTAACCCTGCACCATTCCCTAAACCCTACCTTAACCCGGAATAGCCTACCTTTTGAAGGACTTATATAAGAAAATTCTAATAAGGAGCCCTAAAGAGGTGGGTTATTCAGGGTCAAGGTATACCCTTAACCCCGGCCTGGACTCATCCAGCTCCTTCGCTTCGCGGTTGATCTCCCGCGCTTGCTCATTAGCTCCCTGTCGGAGACATGGTCTTGAGTTGGACGTCTAGTGTAGGCACACCTTTCAGGCTTGAAGGCTTTTAGAGGGACTCTACAGGGGTGAATAAACACCGAGAAAGGCGGTGGGAGTAGGAGCATCAAAGACAAGAACTACGGTAGTAATGATTCCGTTCCAACTACTCGTGTTCCTAGAGTACTCCTACTCCTGCTCGTGCTCGTACTTGCAGGTTCATGAGTAGTTACAAGCGGAGTTATAAGTCCCCTTGATAAGGGTTGTAAGTATAGATACCTTACATATGACCCCAATTAAAAGTACCCATGAACCTCCAAGTGCTCATAGTGCAAGTACTCACAGTCCGGCGACTCGCAACCCTACGTATACTGCCACTGCTGCTGCTACCACTACCAGTACAACGGTTGATGATGTAAACCCTGCATTACCCATAACAAGGAATATGCATCCCATAGTCTAGGGTCCTTAAGGTAATGCAGGATTTATATCATCAACAGTACCACCACCATGCTGTTTTGCCCCGTCATCCTTGATGTCCGCAGATTCGAAAATGTCCTTCCGTGAACTTCCGCGAGACCCAGACCGGCCCTTGAGCCGTTAGCGATCGACGCTGAGGGTTGAGGATTCAATGCCAGGCGGAAGCCACAAGGGCTGTAGTGAAGTGGCTGAAAGCTAAGACGTGGTGGAAAGCCCCCTTAAACCCTAAACTCCTAAGCCCCTATATAAACCCCTAAAACCTAAACCCCCAAACCCTTTACGTAACCGCTAAAACCCAAACCCCCAAACCCTTTAAAGTAGAAGCCAGCAAGTTGGAATATGATTATCCTATAAGCCCTTTATGGTAAATTATAAGGTATCCTACCCTGAAACCATATTCCAACTTTCTGGAGTTCCCTTTAAGCCCTGAACCCTCAGGATGAAGTTTGGGGGTGGTCCCAGGATCTCCATTTATAGTAGAAGCCAGAAAGTTGGAATATCATTATCGTAACCCCTTTAAGGTAAATTATAGGGGATCCTACCATTAATCCATATTCCAACTTTCTGGAGTTCCCTTTATAAGAGTTTGTGCAGCTGGTGCCCCAATCCGAGAAGGTGGCTACTGCATCCGAACCTGTTTGTGTTAGAACAGTTCTGTATAACCCCACAACACACCAACTAAGGTAGCATAGTAATTAATTATGCCATAAAGCCTTTCTTAATGACCTACAGTATTCCTTGGGGATCTGCATGACAATCTTTCTATCATATACCCAGAAGCTAGACCCTGCTCGAGATTTCAACGCCTCCACGTACTCAGACCCCAAGCCTCAACAAACCCTAAAACCCAAACCCTGATTCACCCTGCTGTATTTAGACCCCGAGCCTCAATGGCGGCCACCTTCTCCTTCTGTGCCTGCACTCCGTGCGCAAGTAGCTAATAGCACCCATCTTTCGGACCCCAACCTAGACAGAAGGAGTGGCGGCATCAATCATCCAGTCCACGTCTCACCCAACAACTAGCCGGAGCAAACCAGAGCTAAATCTTGAGGTATGCCAACACCAGGAGTGACAAAGACAGGGCTAAGAGTTACAGACTATAGGGTTTGAACACTGAGAAACATTCCTTGATGGGACACTGTGGGCAAAGCCCCCAGAGCATGCGACCTCCTGCAAAGCACGGACGGCGTTCTCGAACTTTTCCGCCTGGGAGCTTCGCTAGCAAAAGAGGCCATAGGAGCCCCTAATCCCTGAATCCTCAACCCTAAACCCTAATCCCGATAATCCCGATAATCCCTAAACCCTCAACCCTAATCTCTAAAATCCCTATAATCCCTAAACCCTCAACACTAATCCCTAATCCCTAATCCCTATAATACCCATAATCCCTAAACCCTCAACACTAAGCCCTAATCCCTATAGTCCCAAAACCCTCGTTCCCATGATCCCTAACCTTGCTCCTTCGCCCCAATCCTACATCTAAGCCCACTTGAAGGCTCATGGGACTTAGTAAGTCAGGTTATAAGTAGGAAATGATTGGGATAACCCCACTTAGGGGACTTATAACCCCAATTATCACCTACTTACTAAGTCCCATGATCCTCTAAGCAAGAGCCCAACCCAGAGACTCCAATACCCCTTAATTAAGGAATATTCCTTAAATCATGGTAGGATCCTTAATATGATTTAAGGAACATTCCATAATTAAGGGGTATTGGAGTCTCTGGGAAGCTCAGTCAGTTGCTTGCGGGCTCCGGGAGGGGGCTGAAAGACAGGGGCTCGAGACCACCCCAACCGTGCTTGAGTTTCGGGTCTTAGGGCTTGGGGTTTAGGGTTTAGGGCTTAGGGCTTAGGATCTAGGGCTTAGGGTTTAGGGAATCGGGTCCCGAATATGGGAGCTTCCGAATGCCCTGTGATTTTAGAGAACTACCCAAGTGGGAGTTTCCGAAAATTAGGGGTACCTTGTTTTGGGGTCTTTCTAATACGGATCCTATTAATTAGGGTACTAGATTAGGGTCCCCCTATTTTCGGAAACCCCCATATAGGGAGCTAAATAAACACCAACTCTAGTATAATGGGCCCCAAAACCCTGTTCTAATAATTAAGGCCCCTATACTATACCCTCGACGGCCGCAAACGACGGCTCTTTACGGCAGCAATCTGTGAAGTAAAGCCGACGGAGGTGCCTGTATCGTACGCCAAGATGGCAGATGAGGCATTAATTCCGTTCACCGATGTTGGGGTTCTAGCTCCGACACTGAACAGAAAAATCGTCCTTAAAACGGCCGGCTATTGGGGCTCAGGATATTCTCTCTTCTTCAACCACCGGGCCCCAAAAAGTTCAAACTTTCTAAGATAGAGCTAATATATATGGCCAAAAAACTTAAAGTTCCCCCATTCAACTCTAGACCATGAACCTAACAGCTCGGCAGCTTCCGGGTTGCGATAGCTCCATGGCTTAAGACTTAGTGTTATAGAGTTTAGGCCTTAGGGTTATAATTATAGGGTTGAGGACTGCATTCCCGTCGTTTTATGGTGTAAAGCTTCGGGATTAAAGTTTAGGGGGTCGTTTTGGGGGGGCTCTTTGTCTGGATCTTGCTACTCAGGGTCAATATTGGGTACCTTAATTTCTCAGACTTCCTACTTCCCAAATAAACCACAGAAATGAAAAGGTTACCCAAGCGTTCAGAGTACTACTCAACTATATGCACCTATAAACTATAAGAAACCTTAAGAAATTGCTAGAGACAGGGCACTGGAGTACTAAGAAATACAGGCTTCAGAATTCCCCATCTGCCGGAAGTGGCCGTGGGAGGGCACTGTACGCTACGCTTGTCAGAGGCCGGGCGACATTTAAGGCTTCGGGTTTAGGGTTAGGGTTAAGGTTTATAGGGCATGGGGCTTATAGGGCTATGTTTCAGGGTGTAGGGGTTCAGGTGCGTGTTTCATTCGCCATCACACCAACTGTAAATCCATCTGCGCTTGTTGACGGTGGTTGCTTACGGGATAGGTCAAGACTTTAGCACCCGCTCGACTGCTGGCAAGCAAGGCGGTATAAAATACTTTAATGCTCTTTCTGTGTCTTTGGGGACTGCCTCCCGGAAGGTTCTAATTTTTGGGTTCTTTTGGGCCTGCTCGAGACATACCAGCTTGTTTCTTGCTTGGCCTATGGATTCTGACATATTGGGTTGTTTTGAGATTTTGATATTTTTGGTTGTTTTGGGACAAATCTCCGCATACGCACACTCTCAGCGGCCTCTAGCCCAGCACCCTCCCATGCAAGCAGAGACGAAGGGGCAGGCTGTACAGAGGACATCGCCCTATGTGCCGCACCGCCCTTTAAACGATTTGAGACTGTCGACTTCACACAGCTGCAGCTGTGCTACTGTCGATTACGCTTTAAGTTGCTCGGCTGAGGGCGTGGAGCATTTACGCTGAGGAGCGAGAATGTGGTCTGTCTTGTACGAACCTGTGGATATTCTAGGTCGTACGAACCAAGAAGTCATCCCGCGCTTTACGACGGATGCTAGAAGCTGAGTGCACGTCATATCCCTATCTCAACAACCCTACGCCGTGATGCCAAAAACGACTCCGTGGATCCAAGCCCCTGAATCAAAGCCCTGCAACGCCACTGAAAGGTGATATACTATCACGACAATTCTTGTCCTGATAGCTACCAAGGTACACCTGAACTCGAAAAGTTTAGATAGTGAGTACCAGCGAGGTAAGTTAAGGGTTTGGTCCAAGCCCTGTGCCCTAAACCCAATAGAGTCTGAAGGAGCTTCTTGCATTCTCAGAGAAACGTCTCTGTCAGATCTCTCATGCAGACGACCAGACACCTGGGGCTTCCCTAACTTGGCTTCGATTGAATAGATTTGGGGTTCAGGGCTTTCGGAAGGGAATGATGACGCAAGTCACAAATACTGACTGGCTACGCCTACGACTACGGCTACGACCACGACTAGGACGACGACGACTACTACTGCTACTGCAGTTATTACGAAGACGACTCCTTCTGCTGCTGCCGCTGCTACCGCTGCTGCCACTGCTGCTGCTGCTACAGTACAGCTTACTGTGATACAGTGCCACTAACCCTGACACCAACGCTAACACCAACCCCGCTCCGTTCTCAGCATTGACTGCATTTACGACTTCCACCGAACCTCCAAGTACACCTGCATCAACCTGGGAGTCTATGCAAGTTGATGCGGCCGTGATATAAGCCCGAAGCCGTAAACTAACGATCATACCCACCTGTGACTGAATGGACACCCAAAGGTACCGGGATGCCTCAATCCCCCTGGTCATCGGTCCTGCGAATGACTTGAGCATTTATCTACCCCAGGACTTTAGGGCTCAAAGCGAAAGCGGGGTTGAGGACGCTGATAAGCCGAATCTCTGAACCGGGAACCATAAATTCTAAACCCAATATACGGCTGGCGGGATGCGTTTCTCGAAGATGAAATCACCTGTGGAAGCTGCTTGAACGTACAGTATCCTACCTTGGGGGATCGTGGGACTCAGTAAGTAAGGTTAGAGTACCTGATTTTGGTGTACAAGTATACCAGTATAACCCTAGTTTCTAAGTCCCAGCATCTTTTAGGCAGGGTTCACGGACAACTCGGCAAAGATATGCACACGGTTTTACATTATGCAACGATCTGAACATGTGGTACGGGTCGCTGTCACCCCACCCTGCCGGTGAGCCAAGTAAAGATGGAATGTAAGAGATTAGGTTGAGCTGCAACATCATCAAACAAAGCTCAGCCCTGAGCGGAGTTTAAAGTTTAGTGTCGTGTTTTCTTCAACATGCTAAACCCTATCTCTACACTCTGAACTCAAAACCCCCCAAACCCCTGACAACAACACACAGACCCTAAACTCTACTCCCTCGACCCTGAACCCCCAACTCGACACCCTAAGAGCCAAAGTCTCTGCACCACCCTAAACCACAAACTCTAAACCCCAAACTCTGAACGCTAAACCCTAAACCCGCAAACTACTAGCCCCACCCATAGGCTCCATAGTAGTTACTTCTCGGCATTACCTTACAGGATTCTAAATATGAAGCCTAGAAAGGAACTACTATGGAGCCTCTGGGTAAGGCAAACTTTACACTCTAAACCCAAAAACCCCTGAAAAGTAGTTAGTTCTTGGCACATTACCTTGTAGGGTTCTAAATATGAAGCCTAGAAAGTAACGATTCATCTTCCAAAGGAGAATCTTCCGGTCGACTGTTCCGGGTTGTACAGGAAACGAGGCAGAAAATAGGGGCTTTGGGAGAGGGTTGTGGGTTTAAGGTTTAGGGTTTGGGGGTTTAAGGTTTGGGGTTTAGCTGCTTTGGGATAGGGTTTTGGGTTTAAGGTTTAGGGTTTAGGGGATTTTGAATAGGCTGCTGGCGGGGTATGCTCTACAGCGATTCCGACCAGTACGTTGCCCACAAAAGGTTGAAGGTTTCCTAGCCGACCATGAGATACTGATCAACACACTCCAGAAAGGCAAGCCTAAACCCAAGCATTAAACCCTAAACCGCGGGGTTGACTCTTTGAACTTTGCGGTCCACGCAAACCCGAGCACCCACCCCATCCGAACTCAGAGCGTGCGGGTTCACGTAACTCTAGTGACTACCTCCCATGAAAATTTGAATTCTTTAAGACTTTGGTTTTGCGGTCTGTAAAGCTTCGTACTACTTGTCTTTCGTCTTCCCTGGGCTGAGATATGCCAACCCTAGGACCCTGGACCCTCAAGCACCCAGACACTACTCAGGGGCTCCATAGTAGTTCCTTTTGGGGATTACCTTATAGGATCCTATATATGAACCCCAAAAAAGAACTACCTTGGGGCCTTAGGGTAAGCATGACCCCCGAGCCCCAGAAGGCAGAGCCCGACACAAGACAACACCCTAAGGAACTACTGTGGAGCCTTAGGGTAAGCATCATGCCTTTCACAGCGTGCTCGGCGAGCCAGTAGCGGTAGGGCCAGCTGAGACCCAAGATGCTCGACACCACCTGCTCTGAGAGTCTCAAATTACCCTGAGGCCCCAAAGTAGCTCCTTTTTGGGCTTCGTATATAGAATCCCATAAGGTAATCCCCACAAGGAACTACTTTGGGGCCTATGGGTAATATGAGAGTCTCAAATTAATGCTTCTTTTGTGCGGGGGAGGGGGGTGAAGCTGCATCCCTTACCTACAGGCCCCGTAGTAGTTTCTTTTTGGGGTTCAGATTTAGAATTCTATTATGTGATCTCGAAAAGGAACTACTATGGGGCCTATGGGTAATAATGCGTGGTCGGATCGACAACCAACTCAGACCCTAAACCCTAAACCCGCACGCGAAAGGGACCCAGAGTTCCAAGAACTTCCAACTCTGAGCTGGTGGCTAAGGGTTTAGGGTTCAGGCTTCAAGGTTTAAGGTTCAGGGTTTGAGGCTTGAGATTTAGGGTGTAGGGTTTAATTTGGGTCTAAGGTTTAGGGTTTGGTTTAGTGCTCACTTATATCGACTTGAGGGCTTAAGAGGGAGTGGTTGCACCGGCTAGTGCTTACATAGACTTTAAGTCTTCGTGGGATAGAGGGTATTCCAGAATGGGGATTCGGGCATCTTGCTTCTTGTGCTTGATCTGACACCCATCGGTGTCGACCAAATAAGCTTGTGGGCCCGGGACTGGGAACGATGAGAAAACCCCTGGTTAGGCAACAAAAAGAAACGCTGAATCCTAAACCATGCCTTAACCCCGAATAACCTACCGTTTCAGGGACTTATATAAAGAAATCATATCAGGGAACCCTAAAAGCCAGGTTCCTTAGGGTCCAGGTGTACCCTGCGAGCCGAAACTAGAATGATAGCAAAGCAAGGCGCATAAGGCCAGAAGCCCAACCACCGCGGAAGCGTTTCTCCGGTTGTGCCAATCCTCGGGTCCACAGTTTCGTAATGCTTAACTACACTGTCTTTTAAGGGATTCATGCTTTGGGTTCAAGGTTTTAAGGCTTTTGGCTTGAAGGGTTGAGGCGATGTTTGGGTTTAGGGTTTCGGCGCGCCTTGGGCTGTAGAAAGCGTGATTGTTTCAGCGGTGGGGACTTGTGCTTCCGGGCTTTGAGCTTTCGCGTTAGGGGATGCACCGGTTGAGTTGTGTTTTTGTTAGCTCCTTTTCTCCGATGCCCAGAAGGCCCCGAAGAGGCCGGTTGAGTTGTTTAGTGTCCAGTGTTTTGGGATGTCTTGGGCCAGGGTTAAGTCCGCTTTTGTAGGGCATTGGGTGTTTCGTTTTGAAGTGTCTTTTTTGTCTATACAGGGTTTTCGCACGTGGAACAGCACGACGGAACAACCTCCATGTGGGAACCATTTTCGTCAGAACAGTGTGTTGCATATGCATGTAAGCAAGTATCTCTGTGTGTTGTATACATACATATATGTATATATACATATACATTTACTATGTGTGTGTGTGTGCGTGTATATGCATACCGTGTATAACCCTGAGGAATGACGTGGCTAAGAATTCAGGTCGCTACACTTGCTGGTTGCGGCGGGGAGTGGGGAAGGTATCGGGCTTTGGTACTTTGGCTGCTGCATTGCGTAAGATGAAGCAGCTAGGTTAGTTCTCTATGTACTTCTCTCTTGCGGTAATGTAGGAACCTGATTAAGAAACCTTGGGCATTGATTAGGGTTCCTTGTATGAACCCTACTATTTTGGGGTTATAGGCAGGGTTTCTTAATCAGGCTCCTACATTAATGCTTATTGCGTGTTTTCGCAGTTAGCTTATTCTGTGCCAGTTCTTTTTTGCTCCTCCGTCCGGTCGTCCGTTGTTTGATCACTAATTCGGTTGCTCTCTTCCTCTGCGTGTCTTGGCAGAGTCTGTCCGAACGGTCTCGTTCTTGATTTCATTTAGAATATGAAGTAAAACTAACTAAGAAAACATGTGCTGCTTCGTGTATGTGTACATCCATGTGCATGTGCATGTGGATGGATGGATGGATGGATGGATGGATGGATGGATGGATGTGTGTATATATATATATATATATTAATTATATAGGAAGAGAGAGAGAAAGAGAGAGAAAAAACAAAAAAGGTGTTAATGTCTAGAGGCATCGACAAGCACATAAACTCCAAGCCTAAACCCTAAACCCGAATCTATGCCACGTAATTACCTTAGCCCCAAAATACCTACCTTTTTCAGGACCTATACAATGAAATCATGATAGGAGCCCTAAAAGGGGAGGACGCTGAGAGCCCAGCCCAGCCGTAAAGAACTACACACCAGCAAAAGCCGTGGCTCATGTCCGAGTAGAGCGTGAATTCATGGCCAGCAGGATCCACGAGTCTCAGGTGTTCCTTGTAGAGCTTAGGATGGAGGGTTTAGGGCTTGGGGTTTAGGATTCGGGCTTAGTAATTTAGGCATTCCTTTTGGCTGCGGGACTTAGGGCACATTGAGTTTATAGGGCTTGCGGCTTGTATTTCCGGTTTTGCAGCGTAGACTAGGATTTCATATAGGATTTATAGGGCTAGGCTTTAGCAGGTTTTCCGGAAAGCACTCCAGGGTTGCTCTGGCAAGGGTTCTATGGGAGGCATAGCCAGCAGCCTCTGTTGTTCCCTGCTTGGGATTTAGGGTTCAAGGGTTGGATGTTTAGGGTTTCTGGGGGAAGGCTTGGGGATTCTACGGGTGCCGATGGGCTTCATACACAACGTCAAGAGATTCAGCATTGATGCGCTGAGGCTTCTTCTAGATTTGAGGTCTTTGTCTGGGCTTGGACGGCCCTTTTCGAGTGCTTTGCGGCTTAAGGCGTTCGGTTTGTTTCGGGGTTCCTTTCAGGGTTCCTTTGAGGTTTGCAGAAGTTTCTGTTGCAGCCAGAAACTGAACTCCAAACCCTTCAAGCTAATTAAATGTCCAAATTTAGCGGCCTGAATATTTAGAATAGGGTTCGGGGGATATATTGTAGATATATTAGGACCCCTACGGAATAATAGTATTGGCAGCCCTTGAGGCGTGTATATTCATCTTCACACACCAACAGGCAAATCCAGGCTGGCAAATGCCGGAAAGTCATGGAGAACCAGTTATCTTGTCGTAGGCACCCCTAGATAACGACTCACCCTCCAACAAAAAGACAACACGCCACAAAACATAGTGCTCCTATAACGATTCATAGCAAGCAGCCCTGTCACCTATGCTTGGGGTCTTATGCGTGGCCATACACTTACCGCAGAAGACTAAGACCTTTAAGAAGAACCCATTTTGAGTTAGACGTCTTGGATTTGCTTCTGCCTCGTCTCAGGCATTTACGAGGCGAGGGGTTATGGTGCTTAGGGTTTAGGGGCTTTGGGGTTTAGGGTTTGGTAGGTGGGGCTTTACCGGACACCCAAAATCTTAGGGTTTGGCCTAGGATTTAGGGTCACCGAAATCTGGAACGGCATGGCAGCCTGCCCTTGGTAGCATCACGCCGGGAGTCTGTGATGTCGTAAGACGCGTCCTTGTGTATTGACGAGTTTAGGCTTAGGATGGTGTAGGTTTGAACCTCAACCCCTGCACATTCAAAACCTAAAAACCAAAATGTCCACCAAAACCTCAAGCCTCAAACCCAACGGTAAACTATGAAAACCCAAACCCACGCTGCAGGCGTAGGCATGCTCAAGTTTCTTACAAGCTGATCAAGATTTGGGATCAGGCTCAGGGACTTACGGAATAGGTCCGAGGTTCTGGCGTCCAAGGATATAGCAGTTCAATAGGTTAATATTTAACTTTCTAGAACACTCCTAGGTTCGGGGCGAAGTTTGGTGAGGTTTAAAGTTAAGTTTGGGCTCAGGCCAGCCCCGATGCAATTGCAGCAGAAGTTCGTTGCTTCCAGCATAGCATATGCCACCGACAACACACGGTTGCTTGTGCTACTCTTTTCGACCACCCTCCCACTGTCGGAAGCTCATGGTGTTGCTAGGTGTCGCACATTGGCGTGCAAAGAATGAGGTGAGGGATGAAGGGACAAGGTTTCGAGTTTTAGGTTTAACCGACTACTCCCAGGATCCACACTTGAAGGTGCTGTAGCGCAAAGACCACACTAAGGCTTTTAGCTAACTTTAGCCTTAGGTTTAAAGATTTTGGAGTTGGGGTTTGAAGGGCATAAGATTTGGAGGGTTTAGCGCTGTCAAAGTTCTCCGTTGCGGTGCAGAAGGTTTGTAGTTTACTGTTTAGGCTTCAGACGGCTTAGGTAGGGCTGATATCTTCTGATCTGGCCTAAGAACTTGCTTGAACCACTAAACCAGAACGGCCCAGTAACGAGCTTTTGCCAACTCAGGGCGAGCCCGATGTTAGTGTTTCAACGTGCCTTCTAAGACCCTAAACCCTAAACCCCAAACCCTAGGCCCTAAACCCTAAACTCCTAAACCCTAAATCCCCTAGAATCTAGGACAAGCGCCGAGGTCTGAAGCTCTGCTTAAAGAACTCTCGGAACAAGACGGAACAGCTGTAAGACCAAGGTACTGCTCCCATACAGTAAGAGTCTACAAAAATAGGTTACTATTAAGGTCCTAATATATCTATAGTATGATCATCCAACTATTACTGAGTGAGGGCCGTACCCCATGTAAGACTAACATTAAGCCGCGACCAAAGTGTTTTAACACTCCCAGGCTTGATACTTTGCAGGACCCCATACAGGGAACTCCAGAAAGTTGGAATATGGTTTCTTGGTAGGATACCCTATAATTTACCATAGAAGGGTTAAATTTACCATAGAAGGGTTAAATTTACCATAGAAGGGTTAGGATAATCATATTCCAACTTTCTGCTTTTACTTTATCCGCAACCCCGAGCCGGTGTCGGATTTCTGGGCGCAAGCTTTCGTTGAGTGCTTTGCAACGTTACAGTCGAAGGGACTAGGCTGAAGCCGCCACGCTGAAACCTAAAACCTAAGCCCGTCAACATCCCTGAACCCAGCTTTGGCTTAGACGGAGTCTTACCCAAAGGCCCCAAAGTAGTTCCTTTTTGGGGTTCATATATAGAATCCTATAGGGTACCCAAGAAGGGACCCTAATTTTGACAACCACCCATATATCCTTTCTCCACTGCTTCGCTGCCCAAGTCGCTGCATTGGCTGCCCTGGTCCGCAGTCGATGCTGCTGCCTTCTTGCTTGGGGCTGCGGGCTTATATGGGTACGGCTGATGATATCAATCCTGCATTACCCATAATAAGGAATATACCATAAATCCCATAGTTTGGGGTCCTTAATGTGATGCAGGATTTATATCATAATTTAGGTGCCGTATTATAATAGGGACCCCAAAAGGGACCTTAACTTTGACAACCACCTAAGATGGCTGCAGCCCTTCCCATAGGCCCCATAGTAGTTCCTTTTTGGGGTTACCTTATAGGATTCTAAATATGAACCCCCAAAATCCTATGGGGCCTATGGGTAAGCATGTAGTGGCAGGGCTCCTAAACCCCTGAGCCCTAAAGGCAGAGCCCGACGGAACTTGTCCAAGACAATACCCCAAAAATCAAGAATCGCAGACCAGAAACCCTAAACCTAAACCGTACCCCCGAATCGCCCCCAAACCACAGAAACCCCTGCAAAAACAGAAACAACTCGACCGAAAGCCTTATAGACAACGCCTAAACCCATCAAGCCCCAGAAGCTCTGTTAAAAACCCTAAACCCTTACTCCCTAGCCCGTATTAACCCTGCAAACCCTCGCCCGAAACCCCAGAAGCCACTTAAACCCTACTCTAAACCCCTATCAACCCTTTAGATAGATAGGTTTAGGGTCTTTGTCCAGTTGCTGCTCGTGGGTCCGGCGCGTGTCGTCATCTGCCGCCTGCGCAGCCGGGGGAGCTTGGCTGGCTTAAGGCTGTCAGGGTTTTAGGTTTAAGGGTTAAGGCTTAGGTTTTTGTTTTAAGGTTTCAGGCTGAGGGTTTAGGGTTTAAGGTTTAGGTCTTGTGCGGTTTATAGGGCTTAAGGCTTAAAGGGTTGATGGGGTTCACGGCTTTTAGGGTTGATAGATAGGTATAGGGTTCAGGAGTAGCGCTTATAGGTTCACGGGATTTACGGCTTATATTATAGGGGCTGTAGGATAATAGAGATAGGGTTTAGGCGAGGCTTTTAAGACCCCCCACGACCCGAAATACTAAGTACTGCTGACCATAGGCAAGGGCTCTATGAAAGGGCACTTGGGCGGTAGGGATTGGGGAGTTTGGGGTGTGGGCTTGGTGGGGAGTGTGTACGCCGTGTATGCCCTTAGCAACCAAGCGGGTTTGCTGCTGGGATTGAGTGTTCTGGTTGCATGAGGTTTGTTGGCTGTGGGATCTGAGGTTTAGGGCCGGGGCTTCACCTGGGCAAGGTGTACATTATATCTTATATCCATAGGGCGCATGGGCATTGATATCTAGCCCTGCGCTGCAGAGAAGGAGACGGGAGCGGCTAGCGTTGAAACATCCAGGATCATGCCGCCCTTTCGCCGGCCAGCACGTGCTGCACTAAGCGCTCGCGTTTTTCGGCTGTTGACAGCGGAAATCCCAGCTGCCAAGTTTCAGCAACATCGGCCCCACATGGTGTAGGTACTTTGCTGCCGGCCACGGAGCAATGCTTCGCGTCCTCTCCGTAGAACAAGATAACCATATTTAAGGCCATCTGACCCATGGGCGCATATCCCATCTTTTGCGACTGTTGCCCTGGGACTCACCCCTTTGTACCTGGTTGCTGGAGGGATGAGGCTCATGATGAACGTTGGCCACGGAGTGCAGATGCCGGAGCGGTTCCGCCGGGAGTGGTGGCGGAAGCCAGAAGTAATCTGCATATGGCCACCAGTTTGGGGTATGCCGAGCCCAGACTTGATAAGCGGACAAGACGTGCCAAAATGGGTTTAGGGTTCCTCCTCGGTTGTCAGCTCGCCGAGGTTTAAGCAAAGTTTTGGGTGGGTCAACATGGGTCCTCGTTTATGCGTCACTAAAGTATCGCGGTTCACCGGGAAAGGGTGCACAACGGTGGCGGTAACCCTGCCACCCCTAACCCGAACCTCCAACACCGTGAAACCCCCCTCTCAACCCTGAACTGTCGTTTTAAGCCAAGCTTCAAACCTGGCTAACCCAAAGGGTCCTATGTACTGTTATGGGGGATACTTCCCTTTAATAGTAATTCCGAATATGGAAACCCTACATTCTACTATATCGGTACATAGGACCCTTTGGGTAAGGTGTAGGGCATCATGTAGGGTCTAGGTGAACGTCCAGTACGTTCTCAAACTTGTGTTCGTGAGCGAACTTACTGGGGTCTTCTGAGCTTTCCCATAATGGGATTGAGGTAAAAGGGACTTGCACTATCCTGCTACATGCATGTCTTGGTTCTCCATGATCCTCCAAACTTTAACCCGATCCTGGAATGCATTATATGCAATATGCCACCGAAACATATGAACCCTAAACCCTAAACCCTAAACCCTAAATGAATATGATTCTACTTGTTCAGGTTGCTAAGTTGCTAAACCATCGCATCCCGAAATGCGCTTGCAGAGTTCACAGTCCTTTGAAGCTGCTCCGGTTCCCTACGTACATGGGTAGTTCATAAAGGGGACTTAGGGTTTAGGGTTTAGGGTTTAGGGGGGTAGTTCATAAAGGGGACACTAATTTAGAGAACTAAATACATACTGGGCGTTTGGGTTTTCACTCTAAGGTATGGGGTTCATGCGAGAAGTCTGGTATTTCGTGTGGTTCGTATTGGTACTCTGCAGAGGTAGAGGGGATGGACTTCTAGAAAAGACTCTGCTTCGAAGCTTCGAAAGTCATACAACCCCCCCACCCCACCGCCATCAACGACAAACCACCTCAAAGTCCAAACCTATCCCGTAAAGCCCAAACTGAAACCTTACGGCCCAAACTGAAACCTCAAGCCCCCAGCACTAAAACCCCAAAACCCCAACTAATATCCTAAATCCCTAGCTGAAGCCCTACATACCAAGTTGAAGCCCTGAACCCCGCCCTTTTACAACAAGGTCTAGTCCTCCAAAACCGGACACCCCAACGACGTCTGTAAAGCCCCAAATCATTGGCCAGGTTCTCAACAAAAATTGTTTAGCTCCTTTGCAGGGGTGCTAGGATTTTTCAACGGGTAAACTAAATTCTCCAGCGACCCATCAAAAGGTATATCCTTCTCCCTGTGATTCAGCAACCCCAAATAGTCAAGAAAAGCAGGGAGCCCCAAGTACCTGCCATTTCAGCTCGAAATGGACTTGAAGAAGAGGAAAATAGCTCAAGCCCTCGACGACCTTTCGGGGTTCGCTTTTGTAGGGCTAAGGGTCTAGGGTTGATCGTTTGGGGTTTAGGGGTTTAGGGCTTAGAGATTTTGAGTTTGGAGTTTATGGTTTAATAAGGGCTTTACAACTTTAAACTTTTATGCTTTTTTGCTTCGGGGCTTGAGGGTTGAGTTTTGGGGCGACTTTCTGTTTCTGAAAGCGCCTGCTTTTGCTTGCTCGTGCGGGTCTCAACTTTCGACGGTCTGGGGTCCAAGGGCGCACCCAGAAATCCCACCGTTTTCAGAAGAAGATTGCGTTCTTTTGGGGGGGCAAGGGGGCGGATATGCTTCAGTACATACTATTCTATTCAATAACCCTAAGAAAAATACTGACATCTATCGAGGCTTTTACATTGCAAAGAGAGCACACTCAATCTAGAAACTGTTGAAGGTGGTTTAGGGGGGCGACAGACCGCAACTCCAAACTCCGAAAGTGAACCCTGAACCCTAAAGTGAACGCTAAAGTATCCAGGATCCTTAGGATACGTTACGGTTGTGTGGCCTACGAGTTTTGCAGTCCCTGGGTCGGGTTCAGGGATGGGTTTAGCACCCCCAGGTTTCTCTTAGGGGCTGCGTACCTTAGCCAAAAAAAGGTTACCCTCGTTGATTATGGTAGGATTCTATAAACCCTGAAAGGTTAAAGGTTATACCTACTCAGCAACTAAGTTCCAAACTTAAACCCAAAACCCTTCACTAGGCCTGACAGGGCTGTCCGTTTAAGGGAAATAGACAAGGCCTTGGTTCAGGGTTCTACTGTAGCTTGAACCGGAACTCTTTAAAAAAGCCAATACACATCCCTTAAGAACTAGAAATGTGTTCTGGAATGCATTAATTGGAGCAGGGAGCCCTACGGCATACCACTACTAGTTATTCAAGCCCGTACTTTGACTTAAGTGATCCAGGGCCTGACTTCCGGGGTTGCGGCTCGTGTTTTGGAATTCCCCCATGGTTTTTCGCAGATAAGGCTACAGGTGATGGAAACTTGCAAACACCGTCAGATACAGTAAGGCAGTTGCAGGACATCCGATATGTGTGACAATCAGGGGCAAAACGGCTTGCAAATCGAGTCTAAGACAATCCAACACTGACCGCAACCTTCCTAACTCCTACGTATTTCCAGCTTTAGAGTTAGGGACCACAGCACCTGGGGCCTTGTTCGGTTTACGATGCGCCTCACTCTCTCTCTCTCTCTCTCTCTATCTCTCCCTGTCTGGATGTCCCTTCCCCGCTCCCTCTCTGCTGACTACCGCGTGTATGAAGCGGCGACTTGATAGCCAAGCTCATCTCCACAGAACAAACGGGATGATCATAAACTTAGCGGCTGACATATCTAGGCCAGCTTTCAGTTGGTACGGTTATCTAAACACCGCCCCCCAGACAAAAAACACCAAGGGAACCTATTGAGCTAGTCAACAAAAAAAAACAAAAACAAGAGAACCCGCCCCGAAAGACCTTACTCACAGGCCCCATCCTCAGAAGCATTAAGCAAAGAAGTTCCAAGTAAACCCCAACCCCCTAAACCCGAAAGCCCAGGCACCCTGAAGCCTTACCACACGAAAACACTGGCCTCACCCGATACATCTGCCCAGCGCCGCACTTGCAGACGCTCGGTGAATGTGGCGGTGTCCACTCGTTCGGTGTAAACTTCCTTCGGGGTTTCAGCGTTTTGGGTTTATGGCTTAGGGCAGTTTCAGAGTTTGAGATTAGTAAGGGAGATTAGTTGTTGTAGGACTTCGGGGATTTGAACCCCTTTATGTTGTTCTGGTAAAGGTTTCGAGGTCACGGGGCTTGAGGCTTTAGGGCTTCGGGGTTTAGAAATCTAAGTACGAGTCTGGGGCTTATAGCCACAAGAAGCCTCGGAGACACTTGCCGTACTATTACAAGTACCTAAACCCTACTAAAGCCTCAGTTGCTAAACCATGGTCTTGGGATCGGAAGTTCAGGACGGTTTAGGGTTTGAGCACGCAGTATCCAAGTCAAGGGTTTGGGACGGACGTTCTGAATTTGATACCTATGTGTGGAGTCTTTCTTATGCGGATTTCGAGGTT